ATCGGAAGTACATGGCATGATGTTTGATGTACCGCGGAGACGTTGTACCGAAGGATGTCAATGCAGCTATCTCTTTTTCAGGTCTACTACTGGTTTCAAGTGCGGTATCAACTATCAGCAACCCACAGTGGTAATGGGAGGTGATCTTGCTCGGGTACAACGTGCATTGTGTATGATCAGCAATAACACAGCAGCAGCCAAGGTTTTCTCCCGATTCAACCACAATTTTTATCTCAGGTATGCCGAGAGAGCGTTTGTTCACTAGTATGTAGGTGAAGGAATGGAGGAAGGTGAATTCTCCGGAGTCCGTGAAGATCTCCCCGCTTTCGATAAAGACTATGAGGAAGTTGGGGCGAAATGCGGTGAAGACGAAGAAGAACCAGAAGATTACTAGATCCATATTTTATCAAATCAACATCCCCGGTGTACCATGTGCATCAATCTCATTTTAGTCCATAAGCTATATTTTCTATTGTTGTAAACTAGTTCCTGTACTTCATTTGAATGGCTCTGCACCTTGAAATGTTACCTCTCAACGTCTAATAAAGATTCTACCATCTGACATGACTTTGTGTTCGATTGAATCGGTCTATGATACCGTTCTGTTTTACTTAAATCACTTGTTTCCAACACATGCGGACATAATGCTTACCCCGGACTCGAATAACAACAAAATCAGTAGATTTTCATTAAAAATTTAAGGTTCATTTTGTAGGTCACGACAACAATTAGATAATTCAAATTGCAGCAGTTTAGCAAACATAAAAACAGGTTAACATTAATCACCCAACTATCGGCAAATTCTCAATTCGCATGGTCGTAATCCCATCAGGTGTGAGCTAACTCCAAACCCCGTCGTCATTTGCAGGCCGTGACTTGCCTCCATGGAGCTAGATTTGCTAGCAATATGGCCCGTCAGCCATGTGACGGTAAAAATCATTCCCGGACCTTGCACAAACCGATCATCACACTATCATAGTTGAATGCTATTGGATGCATTAATGGACTAAAAACTATTACCAGTTGAATGATAATGGATTGACTTAGAGAATCATTTGCAATGACTTGAAACTGTTTCAAAGTACCCAAACCACATCAAATGGGGCATAGCATGACTGTATGATATATCGTCTACATATATATATAAAATAGAGACAACTATCAATCAACCACCCTTTTAACATTCCTCCTATTCCGCATGACTCGAACTCAAGATCTTAAACTTGTACAAGGACCGAGATTCATCCTAATTAAATCAGCATGATTGCTTAGACATTTTGTATTCAGAGAAGAATGAGACCTTCCAAAGGAACAGTTGACATTTTACAAAATGGAGATCACTTCTACTCTCTGCCTGTTATTTTTGTCCCTGTGACCTACAATAACATGCAAATGACCCTAAATCATCTACTCTCTTGGTATTACAATGAGAAACGGAAGCAAATACCAAATGAAGATCATGTTTTAGAACTTAGGAAAACAAAGAGCACAACGGTGGAAGATCCCACAATGCTTCAGCAGAATCATGGACTGTTTCGATACACTCTTGCAGTCCATTCATAGCGTAAAGTGAAGCCGAGATTTGTCTTTCGACTTTCATCCTCTCGAACTCCGTCAACCCGGAGCCAGTTTCCTCGGGCAAAACAACATTCTTAGGCAGATTCATGATTTCTTGCGTGTAAAGAAACCTATCGAACCCTGTTTCACAAGTATAAGAAAAGTCCGATCCGGAAGATGCGGACTCAAATTCCCTTGCGCAGTTGCTCATGTCGGGTTTGTACGCATTGCCGAAAAGCTGCGTATCTCGAACGATTTGGATAGGAGAAGAATTCCCATTGCTTAAGCCTCCACCACTATTAGAACTACTAATGCTATGGCTGGGGCTGATGCTAAAACTTGGTGTTGTGGGGGGTGAGACTGGAACACTTTTTTGTTCCTGACCTCCCTTCTTTCTGTCAAGTAAAATCCGAATCCGAGACGCGAGAGGAGAATCAAAGGACACATGAGTGACAAAGTTGGTACGAGTATCGGACCCGCGGAGAAGGCAAGCGGCTTCGTCGTAAGCTCTAGCGGCTTCTTCGGCAGTGTCGAAGGTGCCAAGCCACATCCTGATCTTCTTAGTTGTGTCTTTGATCTCAGCTACCCATTTACCAGAAGGCCTTTGTCTTACACCAACAAACTTGTTAACCTTAAGGCTGCTTTTGTTTCTTCCCTTAAATTTGTTCCCTTTGCTAACAGTGATACTTGATTTCTGATGCTTTTGTTGCTGGAACTGGATCTCCATTGCCAACACACAAACAAAATGTACTTGATTTTGAAAGATATGAATGAAGAAGAAGAAGGTGTATGGATCAGCTTGGTTGATCTTCAATGGACAAAAAGGGGATTTATATGTATCAGAAATATATCTAACCATCTCAAGATTCTCCGTGTTTATCTAATTTCAGGTACCTGTGCTAGCTTTTGACTTTCACTGCAATGTCTTATCTGCCCCTTCCCAACTTGTATTATTTTTAAGAGCAATATTAGGGGTAGACTACACGTTTAGTATCTCAACTATCACTTTTGTTCCGTTTTGGCTATCCAATTTTTTTTTTTCAAAATCATACTTGATGTTACGTTATGGTTTCATTTTGGTCACCATCCATTAAAAAAATTAACAGTGATACCGATGTGCTACCATAAGATAATGTCACGCCATCATTGATTTTTTTAAAATGTCACGTCAACAGTTATGCTAATTTTTTAATGATAGTGACCAAAACGAAACTAAAACGCAATATTAGATATATTTTTAAAAAAATTAATTAGATGACCAAAACGAAACAAAAGTAATATTTGAAATACTAAACATATAGTTTATCCAACATTAAACCTAGAAGATATTGACAAACTTGTGAGAGTTGGCAAAAAAAATCTGCCATTGATGGGTTCAACCAAATTTTGTAAGTTCAGTTTACATATTTAAAAAATAATCAGACTAATTTAAATGAATCAACCAAATCAAACATCTAATTTATTTTAATTTAATCAGATATTTTTAAAATAATCCATTAAATTAAAATTAAAATAATTCATCAAGATATTTCAAATATTTATAAGCACATGAACCACTTCCAAAATTATCATTTTAAAACGTAAGCATGATAACAATTTTACTAGTAAATAGTTACAGCATAATATATGTCTAAAATTTTTCTTAATCTGTTAACAACACATATATATACTATGAACATAATTACTTAAACTTAAATCATTAAAAAATTTCATTTTTCTATTAGAATTCTTAATGTTCATTACAAGACAAATTCTACCTTTTTAAGGGTAAGAATATAATTTTGTACAAAAGAATAATTTTCGTCAGACAACCTCAAACTTAGGGCAAGTGGGGGGTTGTTGTTTAGTCCTTGTCTTGCCACCAAGTCAAATTAAGATAAATAATTATGAAGAGAGCCTGAAAGGTTACCACGTGGAGGGTTAGAGATTATCTTCAAGAATCTAAAGAAGAACACAAAAGGTAAGCTTCAAAACCCAATTGCTTCACTTGACTCATAATTTGCACCTACTCCTTAAAATAACTCATCACCCATTACCTCATACCCATCAATAGCATGCATTGCATTGCAACCTTCTTTTGCTTTTTCTTCTTACATCACTAGAGAGAAACAAAAACAAAAACACTAAATATATGCAAGTTCAAGAATCTCATAGAGAAATAATTATAAACACTAAATATCTTACTCGAAAAACTCGCGAGTAATTTGAAAAAAATAATATATTAACTTTTTAATTTTTAAATTAAATTATTGATAATATTAATATTTATATGTTATTTTCTAAATACAATAAAATGTTATCATGTATTTAAGGTTTAGGTTCCAATTCAAATTCGAGATTGAATTGAGCTCGAGTTTGAGGTTCAATTGAGTTAAGTATGAAAATATTTCAAGTTTAATTTTTTTTTCAACCTGGAGTCTAGCTTCAATTTTTTTTATTTCTAGTCGATCATAAAAATTTTAAGCTCGCGAGCTTTGGAGTCAAGTTTTAATTTTTTTTTATTTCTAATCGAGTTTAACAATTTTAAACTCACAAGCTTTCGAGTCAACTCGAGCTCAGTTTTAAACTTTTTGAGTCGAGTCGAGCTCAACAACACTCTAATTCAACTCGACTAGCCCTAGTCCCTTCTATGATGCACAACCAAAATTTTGCTACATTCTACAACCTCCAATATTCAACATATCATCTCATATGCCTTCTTTTGATGAGTCTGAGGTTTCTAATCTTCCTGCAGGCTACGAGCTTGGGGACAACCTTTCCTAGGAGATGAACATGAATGCCCCAAATGGATGCAGTCACAGCTGGGATCGTAGGGGCTAGAAATGAAGACACTGAATCGGCTGAAGACTATAATCACGAGGCCGAACAGCAAGAACATGATAACCCCGATTTCTTCAGTAGCTTGACATCGATGATCGATAATGATGAAGAATGGGATCCTAATGACTAACTGGATTTATAGATGACACAATTTCCTCTTCATATCATCAACAGATGGAGTTGAGCATACGGTGAAATTCGTTCAAGCAGATTCTCCAGTCAGACTCAGAGCAAGTCACAAGAGTTTACATATGTGGCTTACACATCAAAGTGTTCCAACATAAGAACTGTGGAAACATAAGTTTATCTACTTCTTTTTTTTTTTAATCATGTTAAAAGTTTTATTTTCATAGAGAAAGGATGCCAGTGATAATTCATTTGTTATGAAGTTATTGGATTTCTATTCTTTTATTAACAAATATTTTTGTTCATTTCCATTACTAAAACAAAATGAACAATACAATCACATCTCTATACAAATAAAAAAAATGCTATAAATATTACATATTTTTTATATATAAAAAATTCACTTTTCAACCACTGACTCATATATATACATCCATAAATACATATATGTTATGCATATGCATGTATATCAACAAATTAATGGCACACAACAAATGCTAAGCCGACCTTGTGTATTTCCCAGGGCCGAACACAGCAAGGACAACAGTTACAATAATCACGAGTAGGAGTAGAATAGCATAGCACGTCCACTTCCTGGCGTTCTTCTGATTCTTCCTCGCATTTACCAACTCTGCATGCCCCGACTGCACGTGATCTACGGCATTCAAAACCTGGAAATGAGAAGGGGAGAAGAAGATGATTAAGGGTTCTTCTAAGGACTAGCTATATTGTTTGTAGTTGATCAAAGATTCTATAAAAGAGTTCAATTACCTGAGTTTCTATGTTATCTAGCATGTCTCCTTGTGCTTCGACCAAAACCGCCATATCCACAAATACCTGCATGAGGAAAATTACTGATAATGTATTCCGTAAATACGCCCTCTCCCAAATCTGATATTCGGTGCAACTTCATTCATATGGTGATCTGTATTTTCATGCATCTGCTCATATTGAACAACTGCACATATTTAAAACATTTCCCAAGGGAAATCACTCCAAAATAAACTCTCACACACAGAGGACACGGATATTGAACAAACAGTACCGAGTCAAGTTCATATAGGTATCATATATGTTTTCACCATGACATTAAGTGCAAAGACGCTTAGGAATAAGATTTCTTGTTTTGCAAGTATGGGTTTGAATTTGATATTTTAATTGTTTTGATCAAATCGAACCACCACAAGGCAACAAGCTGATTAAGTACCTGCTGTAAATCAAGAAGCATCTTCTCCAAATCTCGCACTGCATAGTGGCGCTCTTGAATTTCAAACACGGTGTTCATTATCTGTAAATGCACCAAAAGTTAATTTACCATAACCAATTTCTTCCGATCACAGACAGTCCCTGTTTGAGATGGTATTAAGGAAGAAATACGGAAAATTAAGTCAAACCTGTCCCCGTCCCTGCTCCTGAATTGCTTTCTCGAATATTTTTTCGCTATCTCCAGTCGCAATCAATCTTTCAATTGTCTGTACAATGTTCAACAATCAGACATGGGCTAAATAGGACAGAGAGTCACTGATAATATAGCAAGGGTACCTCTTCATCTGGTCTAGTGCCCGTCACTGGAAATCATAATAACCGGTGCAGATTAATATTAGCTCCATATCATGCACTATTATAGCAACTAATATTATCAGATGAGCATAACCAGTGAAAACACGTCGCTCAACAACCTCCCGATACTCTTTCTGGATTCTCTCCCTAAGAATCTGCAATGGCAGGTACATAGACCCTAGTAAGATTAATGAAATGAGAGTACCGACTGAGCAAATACATCTTAAAACAAATAAATATGACCAACCTGAAACTCATCTAGTTTGCCTTTCAACTTCTTTTTCACGGCACTGCAGCAAAAATATGGCTGTTACATGGAATAGTTACAAGATATAATAAATTCCAGCAAGTCCAAAAGCTTGAAAAGGGATTTCAATGGAGGTGGAAACAAATGTGGCCATAGAATTTTAAAATCATTCACATTGAAAGAAGAAAAGTAGAACCAATTATTTCTTTTGAAGAATCACCGAAAAAGAAAGTAGCCATGGATCCTTAAAACCGTGTCAGATTTCTTCAAACTAATCAGGGCAACAAAAGTAAAATAAATTAACTTCTGCTAACCATATTTTAGATCCACTTTACAAGTACTCAAAAAAGTTTCGATTATGTATTAAAAGGGACTACAAAGCAATAAAAAGGAATAGTATAGTACAGAGTTGTTGCGGCTCTTGATCGATCGACACTTGTTCCTTTTCCACATCTAGGCTTCTGCCTATTGGCTAAATTCTGTCCAACTTCAAGAAATAAAATGAGGATCCATGAACAGAAAATAAACAAAATAAAAGCAGTAATTAGCCTACGTCTCTGTCCAGTTCATCAATTTTCCCCTTTACAAAATGAGCAATTCTTCCAACTTCAGCAACGTTTTTCTCCATTTGCTCTTTGATAGCTACAGATGATAATAGCATCCATCATGAGATCTAATTTCAAGACAATATAACCTAGATTTGGTAATTTAAGAATCGGCTTTTATTCTATATATTCTCAATAGCAAAGTGATAAACAAAAGTATATAAGCACAGACCTCATTATTTGTTTTCCCAGCAGCTTTTACTGAAACTATGTGTAAGAGAAACATACAGGAATATTGCTAACCTTTCATTGCAGGACCCTTGGTTATTTCTGTTGATTCCTCATGTGCTTCCTGCATAAAATATTAGAAAGAAAATGGCATCCAAACATTAAAATCAATAGTCAATACTGTTGCTTACAAGATTCATCACTAACAAATCATCCAGCAATCATGTTAGGCAAGTTTCAACTGTTAAGTATCAATTTATGTACAATTTTCTTGGGAATGGATTCATTAAACTATACGAGGACAAACTTAGAAAAAATTACAGTGGAGTTTGACAACCTAAATAGATTTCTTCACAATAGGTTTTATGACTTGAGACAGTAGGATGTTAGTGCTTTCACAAAGCTGAACAAACTTTAAAATCAGGGTAGGGATTAACTAATATCAAAGCTAAAGAAAGTGCTTCCATAATGAGGATTCAGAAAAACGGAGGAATCCTTGATGTTTCAGTCAGTTTTAGATGAACTACATTGAATATTTTCTAAAATTCATCAAAATTTTGATATAATACAAGGAATCTGGAAAGACATTAAATAAGATACCTGAAGCTTTTTGAGTAGTTTATCCAGATTCTCATATTCTTTATCTATCTCTTGAACCTGGAAAAGACAAAACATAGTATGTACCAGCGATTCAAGCCACCACTTTTGCCATTACAAAGAAGTTTAAGTCCCCCTAGACAATGGCTATTGAGAGATGAAACACGAAAACAGAAAGTCGCAACTGCAATTACGAATCAAATATACTTCTGCTAAACAATTACAAAGGACAATATTACAGCATTAAGTCTACGCCACCTTTACAAAGAACTCTTGAAGGCACACTTCTCCAGAATTCAGCGGAGCTCCTCCTAACTCGATATCTCTACCATGGATTACACCTCTAGGTAACTCACATGACTCCTGCATTATACCAAGCCATGATAAAAGTTAGAAAAATGCAATTCAAGAGTCAAAGGCAGACAAGTTCATCTGGTTATTCTAAACAAACTAAGAATTCACAAAGATAGCCATCTGAAAATGTCTTAATTATAACTAAAAGCGATTTCCTATTCGCACCAAATTTAAAAATTATACAACACACCGAGTTCTTGCTTAGTTTTTTTTTTTCTTTTTCTTAAAAGAAATGCAGAGTACTTTTTTTAAAAGCTTAAGCTATAAATTATTTCGATCTAGTTTCCAAATCATAAAACTAAAAAATTAATTAGCTTTTACAGTTCCAGCTTACTTAAATTATTTTCTATCAACCTTTGTCGTACAAGAAAGAAATAGCTCACTATTTCTTAATAATAAGATTCAGCATTGAAAATGTATCGTTCACTTAATTTCCCCCATTATCTCAGCATCCAAACAGAAAAAGGAAATAAAAATTATAATCTACCAAACATTATATTTTCTTTTTCTTTTCGAATCACAATCCAAATCAAATTTACAAAATGCAATACAGCTACCCTAATTAAAAAAAAACCTTCGATCTAAACGAAATAAACAGCACAGGCAAACAAACAAAAGAAGCTACACAAATAAATAGATAGATAAAACAAATCGGAAATTCAAACTGTTAACCGTTAAAAGGTTGTTCATGGTGGGAAAATGGTGAACAATACTCGATGAAACTTCGCAGAGAAAGCTAAAACGATATTAGAAAATTATTTATATTAAATGTAGAATGTGATTGATTTAGTATAATTATAAGGCTTATATCATTTAGAGTATATTTTCTTTTTCAATAAATACTTAAAGCATTTTTTTGTCAAAATAAATATATAAAGTTATTTTTAGTCACAATAATACATAAAGTATTTTATGTCAAAATAGATGTCTAAACTATTCAAACTTTTCATCTAAGTTCTAAAAAAATTAACATGTGATATTAATTAAATAATACTTTATGTACTTAGATAAAAAATAAAATACTTTAGGTACCTATTTTGATCAAAAAAATATTTTTGCTGCATATTTTGACAAAAAACATAACTTTAAGTACTTATTTTGACAAAAAAAATAATTTAAGTACTTAAGTAAAAAAGATAGTATACTTTAGGTACTTATTTATTATATAAGCCTAATTATAACCCTATTTATTATTATTATTATTATTATTATTATTATTATTATTATAACGGCTTTCATTTAAAAAAAATAAAGGATAAGATACATGATTGGACAATTTCGTTTAAGTTTTGTATATTTTTACTCACTAAATTAAAAAAATACTTTATTTTTTTTATTTTTGTTTAATTAAAATTTGGTTGCTTTATTTTTTATTTAATTTAGATGAGGTTACTGAAATTAAAAGTTGTTAAGCATTTAACGGATCGTTGACATGACACAATGAATTTTTAAAATTAAAAAGGGTAACTACATATTCGAGTAAGTTTTCGTTTTCCTAATTGAAATTTCAAAAATAACAAATTGATTACTAAAACATTAAATATATCCTTGAACAATGATTTTATACCTAATTTATTTTAAACTTTTTCTAATTCTTTGATTATCATCTACTTAGCAGCCATGTTAGAGAAGTGAATGTGAAAAAAGTGTAATAGTCGGTACATTAATCTTTTCATTTGTTAACTAAAAAAATAGCAATCTATTAAAGTCTAACAACAGATAATCCTCAGATCTCAGTGATAATATATTAATTAAATAAAAAATTAAAATGACTAAATATTATGTTTTTATATAATTCAGTGAGAAAAAATGTACTAAACTTAAACGAAAGTGATTAATCATGTAATTTACTGAAAAATAAAATCATATCTCTTTCAGGGTTTCAACTGTCCTTCCCTCCCTCTTTATTTATTTGAATTTTCTTCTTGAAATTATATTTTGATATACTTCCAAATAAAGATAAAATATTTTTTTACTTAACTAAACTTAATCAAATATATTTTTTTTTAAATGCTCTATAATAATTTATAAAAAAGTGAAATGCGTAAATGTTATTATGATAAGGATCTTTATTGACAATCACAATTTCGAGTAGGAACACCCATCTGGTGGAAGCAGGTGGCTACTAAGGGCAAAAAACTATTATATGGGAAAAATCAGAAGTAACGATATCGACGAATTAGTTCTCAAGTTTTTCTTCCCTCCAGATGTTGATAGAGTTATGCTGTTATCCACTGTTAGTAAAATACCATGTCTCACCTGTATAAGAAAAAAAATAAGGTTTAATATAAAAATTTGTTTAAATTATATTTTTTCTCACTTAGGTATTTAAATTTATTTTTTAGTTAATTTAGGTGTATAAGGTCATCAATATTATTTATTATTTAGGTGCCTCGTCGGTCATAAACAATAAAAAATCTATTATCTAACACAATGTTTTGTTTATAAAATTTTGAATTTTTTATTTAAAATAAAAAAATTAAAATTATATTTTTAACCACCCAACGAAATATTATTCTTGTTGTCACTGACCGAACCTCCATTCATGATAGTAGCGGGCAAGAGCATTCAGAAGTAGAGGAGAAAGAAAGAGAAGCGGAGTCCATTGCTGGGAATCTGCAGGTTCAGCTTTAGGAAAGTAAATCCGAGCTTGAAGCTTTCTTTGTAGAGGAATCCAAAACGATGGTTGCCCTATGAACGAATGATTTCAACCTTCCAACACAAAATGCACGGCGAGAAGCACAAGGGATGACCAAAAACAACCCCAGAGAAACCGCCCTCCAATATTCGGAATGCAGATCTTTTGTCAGGGTATTCCGTGAATGTGTCATGCACCTACATTTTCAGTTTTCATTGGCAGACGCAGCAAACATGCATAGTAAGTCTGTCTGTACTTTAAATGTTTGAATAGTATAACATCAGCAATCCGTAGTAGTCTAGTTGTTTAGAGTACTCGAATCTCACCCGAGAGACCCGGTTGCAAGTCCCGGAATCGGAACGATTTTTTGTTTTATGGATGGTCTCAGGTGAGAGCTGAAGGTTTTGCATTTTAGTTTTGCTATTATGGGGGGTGTTTGGTTTTCATGTCTGCTGCATCATTTTCTGGTCTTAATTGTTAGTGCAGTTTTTTAACTTAAATTATCGACAAATTTTCATCTTCTTTCCAATGACCTTTACCTTTATACAAATAGTACAGTAGCAAAGTAAAAACTTTTGGCATCTTCTTATGTGCCAAAATATAAGAAAAACTCATTATGCCATATATGCACTTGTTTTTGTCCGGGTCTACAAAAACATTTTATTATATTATATTCATTTATTATTATTTTTAATATTTTTTTTTATTTTATTATTTTTACAGGCCCCACACTCAATAACTTTGATTTAGTGAGATTCAGAAAATAAATCAACGTATTTGAGTCCTATTGAAACACTAAAACCAATGTATTTGAGTCCTATTGAAATACTAAAACCGAAGCATTTGAGTCCAAGTAGGACTCTAAATCTGAGCTAAAAATAGGTTTCTTTAGACTATAAATAGACTCAAACATCAAGAGGAAATAATAGAGAAAAATGCGGGACCACATTCCAGAATCTGAAACACAAAGCACCCAGTGTGTTGCTGCTTCACACGATCCCAAGACATTTAAATCCAAGTCCGGTGTTACACCAGTGGTGCAAAAGCAAGCAAGAAGAAGCACTAAGGATTTGTAGCTGAGCTGAATACACGGACTTTAATTTCCATTTGCAGTTCAAAAGGTTTTTTTTAATTGTTTTTGTTGTTTTGGAACGTGTTTGTTTGCGGAATTTTATAACTAGATAGATATTAAATGCCTTTGAACAATGAGCTGGATAACCCCATGATATGCAATGGACGAATTGTTATTTTTTTTCTGCTTTATAAAATATCAACGCGGACTGTTTTGAAATGGATGAGTTCTATAATTGTTGTGTTTATTTCACATGTTGGTGTTTCTCATGTTCATTTGTCATAATAAATAGGAATTAGGAGATGATAATACATTATTTATTATTTATTTATTATTATTTATTTATTTATTATTTATTTTATTATTTATTATTCATTTTTTTTCTTTTTCTTTAGCATTCAATATTTTATTTTGTCATCTACCATTTTTTTATTTTTTTCTTCGGAAGTAATTTCAACAGAAGGTAAATAATTTGAATCGGGTTTTAAATTTCAATTTCTACAATTAAAGACAACTGATAAATTAATTGAAACCGAAATGACGGTTCAAGGGTGCTAATCCTTTCTTGACCGTAACCGACTCCCGAACCCGACACGTTTCTGGTACAACGCAGATCAAGTAAGATGGTGTTCGACCCACCTAAATTCATTTTAAAATGGTCGGTGGCGACTCTAACCCAATTCATTCAAGTCGAAGCCCAATTCTGGGGCCCAACCGAAAGACGGTTCCGACAGCTTGGCGACTCCGCTGGGGACAGGTAAGTGAGTCAGGCCGAAATTAATTTTCGGTTGTCTTTTTTAGCGAAAGTTATAAATTTAAATTTATTTATTTGATTCTAATTATTTACCTTTGATTATTTTTCAAGTAAATAGTTGTACTGACTTTTTTTCAATGATTTCAGATTTTCCAAATTTTCATCTCAGACTCTATACTCGAGCTCCGAACCCTATTTAAGTGGGGGTAAAAGCAACACCTTCATATGAATTTATTCACCGTGCGGGCCTAGCAAGTAGCCTTCGGGATTCATATATCTTATGTCTTCGTGTGAATTTATTCACCGTGCGGGCATAAGCGAATGTTTCCTCTCGAGTTTAACTTAGTCCACATAAGCTTGTAATGGGCTTAGGACTAAGGGTCTGGCAAGCCCAAGGGGGCATCGACAAGGAGAACTCGAGTACCCTCTTTTAGAACCTAAACCGGGAGAGTACAAGGAATTAGAGCCCATCCCAAAACCTCATTCAAAACCCTAGACTGCTTTGTTTTCTGCTTTATTTTCTGTTTAAAGCATGCGAACTAGACAAATATGCGGTTAGGATTTGTTTGAAATTAGCATGCGGGATAGAGATCATGTCCGGGTAGGAATTAAAGCATGTGGGGTAGGATTTTTTATTTTTATTATTATTTTTATTTACCTCACTAACTCTTTTTATTTTTTTTGTTCTCTTTCATTTTGTGCCCATCATTCGTATAATTTAAAAGAGGTATCGATCCACCAAAAATGTGTTTGTTAAACATGAATAATCTGCATTAATGGACAAAGGGGTTATAATACAAGAGATAAAAATACAGAGGACAATCTACAAGGCGACTATGTTTCACATTCAATCCAGAGGACGTGGTGCCCACAATTGAAAAGTATATCACTCTGCTGCATCATAAATGACTCAGAACGAACCGGGTCTACGTCAAGCACAATGAAAGTATATCTTTGAAGAACTGAATGGTAGAGGTTGCAGGGCAAGATGAAGGTTACTGATCTCGGGAGTCCCTTCAAAGAAAACAATGGAAAAACGATATATGAAATTGGAGACCATTGATGACGAATTCAAGAAACAGACAAATGAACTTCACGTAATTCCTATCAATTGAGGACTCCAATGACGTATTCGTTGGGAACAGGTTCAACAAAAGATAAATGCCAGAGATGCATTCATTCGAGACTTCTTGGACCAGTACAAAAAGCAACTCAACATTTGCACGGTTCATCCAGAGAAGCCAGAGC